CTTCCCCCCCGCCTGCCCCTACCATTACCCGACGCGGAGCCTTCTTCCTCTCGGGGCAAACGCGCATAGCGGTAACATTCCGACGGCGCTACTTCCAAACCTGGTGCCTTACTGTTAGGCAGCCGGTCAACAGCACGTGCGACTTCCTCCAGCGTGAGGGGGGGATCTACGATTTCTGCTGCCTTCGCAGTCCTGCCCAAAACCGAGTGGGATGACCGCCATTCCTGCCCCTCTAGGAACTGCCCAATGTTAATGAAGTTCAAAAGCCGGTTCGCACCATCAGGCCCTGTCTCCCCTACACCTGCGTTTAAGAGCCCAGCAAAGTGTTCCCTGAAGACCTCAATATCATCTATCGCACATCGCTCCCTCAACTTCCCTCCTAAAGCCCGCCACAAAGCTCGTTGATCTTGCCGACGTTTGGCCACAAAATCTCTCATCCTATCCTCCTCATATGCCGCCTTTGCGTGTCTTTTTGCCCAGTTATAATCCGTCCGCGCATGGCGGAAAGCCTCCCATTCCGGACCCGATTTATTACTCACCCGGCCTGGACCCAGTTGGGCTCTACTCTCCAGCATGCGTTGCCGTGTTTGTTGACATTCCCGGTTCCACCAAACCGTATCCCCACCTGCCGTCATGCCGGTAGGTCGGTGGGTATCGAAGGCCCTCACCAGGACTTTGTACAGGGCACCTCCAATGCGTTCGACAGCTTGTGTGGTGTTGCAAACTCCCCTCTGCAGGTCCTCGGCCACTTGGCTTAAGGCATTCATAGTAGGGGACCCCCCCTCAAAATATTCCGCGTAATCCTGGTATCGTGCAATATCAAGCTCCACCCGGGCTTTCCGGCCTTTACCGTCCCTACACCTGCTTTCGTCATCCACTGTAACATTAAGAACAAGCGTCAAAGGACGGTGGTCGGTGGGCTCCCATCCATCCAACTCGATCAGGTTTCCTACCCTCAGAAAGGTGGCGTACTGCTGAAGCACACGCGGAGTCGCTATGAATAAATCGATCATACTACCGCCTGCCTCCCCCTTAGGGAAAGTTAGGCGGCCTTCTGGGTCCCCTCTCATCCGGCCGTTCATCACGAGCAGTCCCTCGGATCTGCAGAGCGCCCCAAGCTGGGCACCAAAGAAATTGCAAACTTGGTCCTGGCACTTTCGATTTCCGAGTCCATCATAATTCTGGTAGTCCCTCAGTCCTTCAAAACCCATGACCTCGCATACGGCCTGCGACTGCTCTAAATCCGGGATGTCGTTCACGTAAGCAGGTAGGTCCATCGGGGTATCACGGTTCCGCTCATGCTGTGCTCCAGACAGACGTGCGTTAAGGTCCCCGGCTATCAGTACGTCCTCATCGCCAAGCCTGAGTTCCGTTAGTGACTGTTGGATCCTGGTAAAAACGGCTTCTGCTGCTGCAGTGCGCTGTAATACGGTGCCTCCACCATCCGGGTAGACCCTGGACGTCTCTGGTGCGAGGTAGCAGGCTCCCATCAGGAGACTGCTACCTGTAGAAAGGCTAACGCGTGCCCGAATGACCTCGCACCCTGGCAGCTGGTTGTCCTTGTGCACCACCGTAATACCCCTCGTGAGTGACTCCCGTACATACAGCGCGACGCCTCCATAATCGGCCCTCGGGGCTTCCTTTGACCTCTCCACCCGGAAAATACGGAACCCTTCCAGAGCTATGTCTTTCTCCTCAGTAGTGTCTTTCAAATGCGCCTCAGCTATAACAACAATATCATGACTCGTGACGAACGACCTAATTCCTGTCTGGTTGAGCTTGAAAACTCCCGCCTCCAATAGCCCATGAACATTCTACAGTAAAATCCGTAGCCCTCGGCTCGCGTGCCCCTAGGTGTCATCCATTTCGTCAGCGTTAGGGAGGTTTGCGAAGCGGTTTGCCCTGTTACCCGCCAGTTGGTCACGTGCCCTGTCGTCCCTTCCCCCACTGCCGCTTCCTCCTTGGCCCACCTGCCCGTTTCGTGTACTTCCCGCCACGAGTCGAAACCCTTCCGTGTCGACGCCCCTGCTATCCGGACCTTGTACTCGTGGATCGCGTCCGGCTGGCGGTCTGTAGCTCGCTCGCTCCAGTGTGCCTGGT